TCCTCCAGTTTCATAGTCTAGACACTGTACTAATTAAATGTTATGTGGTCTTGACATGCCTTCTTCAAATGAACCCAAACAACCTCTTAAAAAACTCACCTCTGTTTTTGTTCATTATTGCACTTTCAGTAAAGGTCCTATTTGATACAAACACTAAACAGTGACTTGGAATACTGAGTGCACATGATGGTAAAAGAAATTTCTCTAAAATGATTTATGTAAACTCACAAACTGGCTCTCCTTTAATCTACATTATTGTTACAGTACTTTGCCAAATCCACCAGCATCCATTCCATTATAAAACTGGAATAAATGGAGTCCATATGGATTTGAACATTTTGTAAACAAGACCTAAAAACCGAGTCTATCCCAAAGCTCAAGTGTTTTATACTTTCATGAAGATGAAATACAAGGTCTGTCCAGAAAAAATCCAGCCATTGTTAATATAACGAGAATGGTTTGTGTGACACTGATGTAACCTGGCAGCCAAAGAGAGTGACCTGGAACATGTATGTGTGAATAAGGATGAATTCACTGTACTAGTCAGTGGGGGCAGTAGACATCACTGAATGAGCACATGTACTATGCTCATGTTTACATATGTATACATGTTTGGCCATTGCATTCAAAATGAATGAGCAAGTACAGCAATGAATCTGCATCAAATTTTGCATTAAGCTTGAACATTGCTCTGCGGGAACTATTCAGATGATTCGGAAGGCTGCAGCTATGGCAAATGGCGATTGGCAGCTTCATACAACAACATGCTCACCCATGCATGAAGTCTCATGCAGTTTTTTGGTGAAACATCAAAACACCCAGATGACTCAGCACCCTCCCAACAGCTCAGATGGGGTGCCCTGTGACTTCAGGCTTTTTCCCAAACTAAAATCACCTTTAAAAGGAAAGAGATTTCAGACCATTGATGAGATTCAGGAAAATATAACAGAGCAGCTGATGGCAATTGGGAGAACTGTGTGAGGTCCCAAGGTACCTACTTTGAAGGGCACTGAGGCATCATTGTCCTATGTTCAATGTTTCTTGCATCTTCTTCAATAAATGTTTCTATTTGGCATAGTACATGGCCGGATACTTTCTGGACAGCATGTCCAATTTCTAGCTGCTCTTACTTCCAAACTGCTGCTAAGAAAAGAAAATCTTTCAATAAGACAGATGAATCAAAACAGAAAATCTGGCTTGTGCTAGATGGGAAAACCAAGTACAAAGATGGGAGGCTGAGCCACATGGGCCTGTGGGGAAACGAGACAGACAGATGGAGATAATCATATTTCTGCATTATCTAGTCCTAAGGTTATCTGGAATTTCAAGACATGAACATATGGTTGAGATTATCAAATCCATCTAAAGTGTTCAGATTTTAAAAAGATTTCTCAAAATTTTGGTTCAATTAGAAGAAAAAGCACGGACAGCACCACTTTGTCCGGTAACACCCAGACCCACAAATGCAGTGTGGAGAGAAGGGACGGGGCTGTATTTACGTCGGCCTCCCACAAGGTCTAGCACAGCACCCTGCCTACAGCTGTTATTCAAAAAACGCTGCGCTGCCTTCCGTTACCACTTTCTCAAAGCCCCCTACTTGGCCACCTCCTCCTCTCCCAGACAAGGGACGCCACTCAGAGAGGAGCAGGGCAGAAGTCAGTCAGCGTCACCTCCACTGTCCTGTCCCTCAGCATGTACCGCTCTTGCCTGTCCGCTTCTGCGATCCCGCCCCTTTGGCTAACTGGCCTCCCGCTGGTGAGCTGGCGCTGGTCAGTTAAGAGCGCGGACCCCAGGGCTGGCTGCTGTGCACTAGACCAACAGGCAGCAGCTACTGGAATAAAAGGGCTGTATTTTTGCCATTGTATAATGCGCACTTTTTGCCCAAATTTTTGAGGGAGAAATAAGGATGCATATTATACGTGGGGAGTACTAATTTGTTATCTGTTTTATTTATGCTTATGCATTAAAGCCAGTAAGCAGTAACTCCAGAAAGCAATAACAATATCCGTATGCAAAATAATACCCTTTATAACACAAAAAACCAAGTATCTAAATATAAATAAATAATTGGGTGATAAGATTAAAACGAATTTTTTTTTTTTTCCTGAAAGTTTGGGCAAAACATGGGTGTGCTTTATACACAGGAGCGCATTAGGGCCAAATACGGTAGTTGCTGGGTACTCCGACCCCAGGAGGTCAGGACTAACCCTGCACCTCACAGCCTGGAGTCTCGCTCCACAACAATCGGGTCAGCCTGAGTCCAGGCAGTCAGAGCCACGCTGTCACACACAGGGCCTCCAGAAACAGGGTCACCGGGGACAAAAAACTGCGACTTCCTTCCGCCAACAATTTCTTTTTGTGAAGAGAGCGGTAAATGCAGTTTGGCTGTAAAGAATAGCCTTGGCCACAGAATGGGCTGGAATGTGCCTCTGAATACAAGAGCTAGCCAATACTCTTGAGGATCCCTTGCTCTGAGGACCAAGGTCAGTGTCGGTCCACACTAAGGAACAGACTGGCCCTTCCGCCCGGAGTGCTGTACTGGGGTCCCCTGTGAGTCCATGTGATTATCAGACAATTTTACCCCCCAGAGGTTGTTACTGTTCCACAGATTATTGCAGTTGCCAAGGCGGTAAACCACGCACAGCGAACCAATGCCGCCGAGGATTTTAGACCCTAAGGAAGTCCCTTAAACACTGTTACTGTCTGTCACATAATTAAGCACTCCACATTGCCCTGAATAAAAAAGCCTAAGACGTCAACCATCTCTCAGTACCACTGCCTTACTGGATGCTGAGATGAGAACAGGAAAGTCACACCACATGTCTGCCATCTGTATTTGTACTTGTCAACAGCTCTGTTTTGGGGTAAACAGTTTTGAAGTCAGAATCAATTTGACTTGTTGGAAGATTAGCCAAGGAATAGCTGAGAAGACCAAAACAGAACATGAAGTCAAATAGTCTAAAGAATCAAGCACAATTTCCGTCTCTCACTAAACATTCTGTTTTGTCACAGCCCAAGAGAAAGCGCATAGCAGCCAGGGTGTGGGGGCAGAGAGACAGGGAAGACGTGTTTATTCAAGTGAAAAATTCTTCAACTTAGAACAGATGTCTTTGCTACAATGCAACTGGAAATCATTCACTGACCTCTGGGAGACTACAGTTAAGAAAAAAGTAATTTTAGCATTTACACTTTGTTTCACAGTTGTACTAGTGAAGGTGTATGTGGGGACAACTTGCATTGGGTACAGTGCATACATAAGGTGGTCCTTATTACTCTACAAACAGTGGCATTTCCCAAAGTCGATCTTGATTAAAAGTAGTTCCATGATTGAAAACACTACCCACCGTAGAACTACTTAAAGAGAGAAGGCAAGGGGGAAACAAAGACACACACCTAAAAGGTCGCGGAAGAAGGCAGCGCAAACAGGATGCGACAGATCAGGGGGAGATAGGACGGAATGGCTTTGGGGAGCAGCTGGTGTAAGTGAATGAAGGGACATGGTAACCTGGCAGCCCCATAGATTCTAGAAAACAAATGAGAACATGTACGCTGCACTCGGAGGGACATCCATTTTCTCCCTAAAAGAAGTCATTTATAAAAGAGCAAATTGGTGATTTGTACTTACAGACTGGACCCTTTTCAAGCCCCTGTCAAGAAATGATAAATTATTGAAGCCCAGCATAGTGTTTTATTTTTGGTGTGCACACAGTCAAACCCTGCAAAATGATTGTTTGCCTTTCCCGAGTTATTAATTAAAAAATAATTGTTTCTACTTACTCCGTGATCTTTTAAACAAGAGACTGCCACGCATACCTCTCCAGAACCAGCACCGCCCCTTTCCCCTCCTTCCCGGTCCCGCCTCCACATCCTCCAACCAGGCAATTGTTTAGATTGGGGAGGGCGGGAGGGAGGCCAATCCGACGTTCACACAATTGTCTGGTGTTCATTCAACCACAGTGCCCAGATATATTTGTTGTCCCTGGAGACAGCATAAACTGTTCAGGGAATAAAGCAGGGCTGTGGAAATCTCATTAATAAATTGTGAAAACCCTCTAGGCAGGAGTCCCGTAACCGAGAGGGGCCCGCCTTGTGCCAAGCACTGTGAATGCCCGGTGCTCTGCTCCTGGACAGCGTCACGCTCACACACAGCTGCCCACCGAGAGGAAGGGTTCCCGAGCGCCTTCCCTGGGCAAGAGTGAGGAGAAATTCTTCCCGTCAGGTTAGCAACTGAAACCTGAACAAGTTTCCAAAGTCTAAGCTTTGCCTCAATCTACAGGACCACCAGACAGATGTGCGGGAATGGCTCTTCCCGGCTGTGTCCCCAAAACCAGCGGCGTGGAGCCGGCGCTCACAGAGGGAGCGAGGAAATCCTACAGGTCTCGCTGCACACGCGGAGAGGCAGGGTGACAGCGGACAGGCTTGGCTTCAATGGGACACTTCAGATTGCTCCCCCAAATTAATTTGGATTCCCACTCCTTCTGTGTAAGTGCCACTCTTAGATCTCCAATGCCACTGTTTATCTAGGTGGCTGCATCACAGACTGGACTTCCGACCTCATGGATCCTTTTGAACCTCAGACTGAAACTGGATGCCTTTGTAAACCATTTCCCTCAAGTATTTTGTAGGGGAAATAGAAGAGGATGGGATAAAGGAGGGCTGGTCTATGATGTTTGAGTTATCACTTTGCATTATTTTAGTCAGTTAAGTAAAGCAATCAACCCAAATGACACTGCTGGGGGCTTGTAAGTCGCGTAGGGCCCTGACTGGTGTGGCTCAGGTGGCTGGGCATCGTCCCGCACAAGGAAAGGTCCTCGGTCTGACTCCCGTCAGGGCGCGGTCCTTGGATGGGGCGCGCACAAGGAGAAACTGACCGATTGCTGTTTCTCTCTCACATCTGCGTTTCTCTGCCTTTCTCCCTCCCTTCTCCTCTTTCTAAAAATAAATAAAATCTTAAAAAAAAAAAAAAGTGACATAGGGAGAAACAAAGAATTTCCTTTTTTTTTTTTTAATTCTTTTTTGCATTTTGCACACTGACATAGAGGTAAAAGAAAATGACTGAAACTTAAATATGAAAGAATTCTTTACAATTAAATCCACAATTTTATACATTTACTTACTCACATGCCAGTGAAAAATCACCAACTTTTATGAAATATGACAAATTATATTAAAAAAAAATCTCATAAAAAAATATATCCAAGTATGAAAAGCATGGTGCTCCTGACCTCTTCACATCCTCCTCTTCTGGGTGCTTATGTATAACACTGAAAAGAGAGAAGAAAGGAACGTAAAAACTGTCCTTAAGTATCATAATAGCAAGTTTTAAAAGCAAACAGATTTTGGCCCAACACCTCTGCAAATTTAAAGGGACTTTTTATGCCACACAGTAAACTCTAGCGCTGCCATGAGACTAGTTCTATGAATTTAGAACTGGGTTTGATGTCTGACAAGGCTGGGTTCTAGTCTTAGCTACACATCTGACTTCTGTGACCAGGAGGATAAAACAAAATATATGTGAAAGTTACTAGAATCTAAGAACGTCTTATAATTACGGGTAAATTAATTATGCTTGTAGTAAAGTAAATCAAGAAATCTTACCAGGCTAGACTTCAGATTACAAATAAAGACCGTATTTTCATCCATCTCCCCAACAGAAACTCTAAATTTGCTGTTTAATTTTTTAATTGCAACGGGATAAACATGACCCGAGGAGTTTGTTATTAAACAAACAAACAAACAAAACCCAAGTCCTTATTCTGAGCTCCTCGGTAAAATATCACCCTCTGGCGCTGCCCAAAGTTTTGCTTCGCTTGTCCTCTGGTGACCACCCAGTCTGAACTCTTCAGGAGACGAGGCACAGAGTGTGGTGGCTGGGTCGCTGTGGTCACCTTTCGCCGGAGGTGTACCTCCCCACCCACCCCTCAGTGCCTACTCCGATTCTGACACATTTGTTCAAAGTGAACATTCAGAGGTATCTTGATCAAAGAACATAGCACAGATTAATCAAGCAGGCCAAGAATACTCTTCCAAGAGTCAAGGATGTGAATCTGCGAATCTAAAAATAATCACCACCGATTATTATATTATGGAAAAAGCCAGATGAAGGGAAGCATCGGAATGACAGGAAAAACATCCCTGGGAAACTGGACATGTTCTAGATGTCACATTCGTGCGACAGGCTCTACCCTTTCACTACTCACAGAACTTGCAACTGACTGGCTCTCAGTTGTCTTGAGATGGAGGAAAATCATAACATTTCTTAGTGAATATAAGAAGTCAAATAACAACAATGCGAGGAGAAATTCTACCTATTAGAAAAACTAAAAAGCAAACAAAAGATATATAGTACTGTAAGAACAGGAGATAGAATACCTACAATAAGCCAGGACGTTTAGTTCATAGTACAGAGATCTGACTTTTAAGGGGGCTGAAGAAGTTATTCATCAACCAGAGAATGCCCATCAATAAAAAAATCCAACTCAAGAGCCCAGGCCTCCATTTAGGGAATAGGACCAAAAAGTGGGGAAGGGTTAGGGTGTATTTCCCAGTTTTGATGTCTTCCCCTGAAAAATTCAAATATGACTTTAGAGATAATGCGCTTTTAACAAGGCACTTAAAAATCAACTTAATAATGACAGCAATATAGTAGCTGTTAAAAAGCTCAGTAACTTTAGAACCATGTTTCCTATTTTGTCACTTTTGTCAAACTAAAGGAAAGAATCTCCACAAAGGGCATTTGAATGACTGACTGACATAGGGCAAAAAGCGCAAGCCAAGTGCCAAGCGATGCAAACTGAGGACAGCAGGGCCACACTGGCCACTCTCACGGCTCCAGCATCCAGGGTGAGAGGCCGCATTGCAGGAATATAATCAACTGCATTCAACAGAACAGGTTCGGGGTCGGTGTACCAGTCCCCTCAGCTCCTCCTCGGTAAGGGGAGGGGGGAAATTTTCTAGTCCCAAAAATTCCATGAAGCTCCTGAAAAAATGGTCACACCGAAGATGGGAGATAGAAGAATTTAAAAGCAAAGAAAGCAAAACTAAAACTGAACTTTTAAGTTATCCAGAAAACCCACTGGCAATTCCGATTGCGAACACAAAGGCTTATTTCAGATGCTGCCCAACCACCGAGAGGGGAGGAACGGTACCGTTGTTTCCTCGGATAAATGCATCCCCGTACTTGTTCTTCAGCTGCCCGTTCACGTACTCTTCCGTCTGCTCCAGGGCTATATTCATGTAGCCATCCAGGCAGGCCAGGACCCCTGGAGACAGATTGAGTCACAGGGAGAACACACAGAGCAAGTAAGAGTTGAAAATTACAGGCACACCTTAGAGCTGACAATCTCTTTCTTCATTAGCTCTTGTGTGCTTAAACAAATTCACAGTGTAACTGAAACCCGGTTACATAGAAAAATGTCTTGTCTTTCTGGCCCTCTGAACAAAGGCTAAGAAGCATACTGTGTGAAAGCAGAAAAAAACAACGAACTGTCAACTTCTTCATGGCATGCGTGGTAACGGCAACTTCTAAAGCCTTCACAAAAGTAGTATAGTAACAAAACGCCCTTCTTTTCAAACTATAAAAGGGAGTGGGCAATCAAGCAGGAGCACATGACCATGAGCAGACAGTCCTCACTTCCAGTGGCGTTTCTTATTTTAGCCGCTAAGTGAAACATGGCTCGGGCAGATTTATTTCATTCTTTCACAACATCTACTGCAGCAAATGAATGTACTCCAGGGTTAAGAGGAAGTCTCCACAATCTGCTAAAATAATAGAAAAGGGGACAGCAGGTGCTCCTGAAAGAACATCTTAAACCTGCGACTCACACTGAAGAGCAGCTTGAGAATACAAGGCAGCATGTTGCATTATAACACATCCTTTTCTGTTTTGTTAGTTATAATATTTTCAAATCCAGACTAATACAGACAAATGGCTAAATCATTCTAGGGAACTTTCAAGGAAATTGGGTGAATCTTTTTAAGTGTCCTAAGATGTTTTACTTTTGTGAAATTTGACTAGGTGATTTTTTTCAAAAGATGAAAAAATGTATAAAAGCCTCTCACTTCTCTAACTTAAAAATGATATTTTCTAGAAAAAAAATTTTAAGTGAAAGCAAATACTACAAATTTGATTCAATTAATGAAGTCTATGGCTTCATTAAGTCTCAACTTCATTAATATGCCCCTCACTCTCTGCTTCTGCCCCCATTATCCTCTAAACAAAACTTTCTTTTCAAAATTGTGTGTAATGAGCACAAGACATTAACCTAACAGAATTCTGCTAAAGCCTGTAAACTTTCAAAGAACCGGAATGGACAGTGAACATTAACGATTACTTCCTGTCAAGAGAATACTTAAGATTCAACTTCACAGTTTATTTCCTGATGTATTAATTTTATAATTAAACAACCATAAAAGAGCAAGAAACTTGAGACATAATATAGAGATCTGTTTGAAAATGCATCAGAAGCATTTCAAAATGAAATGTCCAATTCTAATAAAAATAAGTATTCTCATAGCAGAGGTTTTGTTTTGTTTTCTCTCTCAAGGAAAAGGTTCTGGGAGGTTAGAATTGTAATCCCTTCCTTTCTCTAAAAGATAAACTATTATAAATAACAGAAAATACAAAGTTTTCATCAAACTTAAAGAGAAATTGCTTCAGAGAGCTGGTTTGGTTTTGTTTGTTTGGTTTGGTTTTCATTTAACCACAAAATGAGAGCATTCTTTGCAGTAACGCTCTCAGCAGTGTGCAACATTTTGCTTTAATAGTATAGAAGCCAGGAGCAGACACATGCGTAAAAGGGGAAAATTTATGGTAACTACCCATGGGAAAGGTTGGTCAGCCTCACTAATAAACAGAGAAATAGAAATAAAATGAGATATTACTTGTTGCCGATTAGAACGGAAAAGCTGAAACCAAAAGCTAACACCCGAGTTGGTGAGAACCTAGAGAATGAACCTTGTCCCACTGGGGCCAGACATGCTCTTTGACTCAGAAATCATAGCCCAGGGAATTCATTTTAAAGAAATACTTGAAAAATTGCTCAAGATATGTGTCAAAGGAGCAGAGTTGTTTGTAAGAGCAACAACTGCTAAACACCTATGGGTCCATTCATAGGGAACTGGTTAAAAACGAACACCAAGCTGTGGTACAGCCACACGAGGCATTCCCACGCAGCCACTAAACACTTCATAGGCAAGGAACTGAAAGTATCTTTTAATGTAAAAAAAAAAAGCCAGGGTGCATGGACAGCTGATCCCATTTACGTAAAACTGCTTATATGGAGACAGGTCCAAATTGGAAAGGCTGATTGTTTCTGGATAGTTGAATTTGGGGACATTTTGCTTTCTTCTGAAGTCTACTTTTCTCCATTATTTGCTTTGAAATTTCTAAAAAAAAAAGAAAAGAAATAAAAAACTTCCTAACATATATTACTTTTATAAATAGAAAAATTTTCACTAAAGAGCAGAGACAAGAAGGTCAGGCCATTTGTTGATCTTTTCAATGAAGTGGGTACTGAGAAGATATTGAACACAATGTCTCCACCCTAATCAATTGCTGAATATACTCAAGGCTCTAGAAGTGTATTCCATACTCTTTCAGGCTCATCAAAAGTTCAAGGGTGAGAAGCAGTACAGAGAGACTTTACAGTATCTCACAGATCAGTATAAATCCATTAGTTTCACTCTAAACTCAAATTAAACTGGAGCTATGTTACTAATAGTAAGAAACCCAAACACTATATAAACAGCAGAGTGATTTCTTAACAAGGCGTTTGAGTCGAGCTGGAGTGTGAGTTCCGGCCTTACTGGGTGGGCATGACCAACAGAGACCTCACAGGACTTATGTGAACATAAAGTGAAAATCAAAGTAGTCAGCCCACACCAGACCCTCAGTAAGGTCTCAATAAAATCAAGTTTGCATGTGTGAAAAGAGAAAAAAGCTCAGGAGATGCCTATCATTATTCAGAAAAGACACCAAGAATTATTTGCACAAGAGACTACGAAAAAAGCCATTACCCCCTGCTAATGAATTAGTTTTCTGTACCTGTAAAATACTCCAGGTAATTTAACCTATCCTAATGTTGGAAGATTAGGAATTTAGTAACTTTCAAAAACGGAGTTTGGTGTCATCTCTCCCACAAAGTTAACTTCAGCAGTGTCACAGCCTTGAAAAGAGCACCCTGTTCTGTGAAGGCACAGAAAGGTGTCTCCGGACAACCCGCGCCTTGCGTGAGCGGGGAGCTCCAGCGGCAAAGAGACACTGTCCGAGAGCGGCCGCCAGCCTCAGGTCCTTCTGCAGAAACAAATGCTGCTGTGCCGAGGCTCTTCAGTGTCCGGCTGGCCCTTCATGCCTGCAGTGCCTGGCAGTCCTGGCTGGTCCTGGGGCACCTGGCAGCCACGCCCAGTCCCAAAGCAAGAGACAGGAGGCAGGAGTCACTCTAATACCCCAAAGTCAAAGCACACACCAGCATCAGAGCTGTGTCTCTAAAAGGAACCATCTCAGAGGCAGAAGAAGTGGGCACGAAAACTGTTGACCACCAATGCTTTTTCTGGTACATTGGGTACGTTTAAGAGATTAATAAAAATCAGTAAGTCATATTCTTTTATTTAATTACACCAGTAAGAATGAGGCAGAAAAGCATTACCTCGATAATCCACTCCAGAATTTAACTTGACCACAACTGGCCGTCCAATGATTTGCTTTAAGAAGTCACTGGGGGTTTGCTTCCGCAGACTCATTTTAGCAATCCGGATCAGAGACCTGAAAAGGAGCAATAAAGTTAAGGACAAGAGGCAGTTGCTCCACTAAAAAGCACTGAAGCTCTTACAGAAAGTCAAGAGTCAAAGGAGCGCCTGCGGAGACTCAACATGACTCCACTCCCACGCAACAGCCAACGGGTTTTCAGGACCTGCTGCGAGCCAGGCCCTGAGCTAAGCGTCTTCCACTCACGCGCTCAGCGGTCCCCACGCCTGCCCTGACACGGCTTCACCGCGGAGGAGCCCTGTGTTCACGGGGCCCGGCCCTGGGCACTCGCCGCTACTCTCACGTGCACATTGCGCATCGGTGTGCCCAGTGCAGCCACTTCCATCCTCCCACTTACTAAATGCTTACGGTATTTACACGGAGCACTTTGACCCTTTTAAGACCCTTAGAAATACTACTGAATTTAATCTTTACAAGAACCCTGGGAAGAAGGCTTTAATATCCCTGTTTGGCTCATGAAAATAAAGGCTCACAGATGAAATAATTTGCCCCCAAAAGCAATGGAAGCAACATTTGAGCTCAAATTAGTCATATTTCAAAGTCTATGTTATATAATGTAGATATATTTACAAACTTCTGATGCCAAAATAGTATCTCTGAAAATAACGAGAATCCTGAGTTACTACTTGAATGTACTCCATGCCAGCACTTATCTACGCACTTAACACACGCCAATCCATTTACACCACACTACCTGATGAAGCAGTGTTTTTATTCTCATTTTACCGATGCCACAGACACAGAAAGGGTTAAACATCATGCCCAAGGTCACATAGCTAGTAGGTGACGGCTAAAATCACAACCTCACACACAGCCTCCTGGGAGTTGCTAATGCAGCCAAAGATTTTTATTTTATTATAATTATAGCAGACATATACTCTATGTAATAAAGAAAAATAGTTTTAAAATTTAAGAATAGGAACCTGAAACACAGAAAGAGCATTACACACCCAACCAATCACATCAGACACACGGAATTGCCCATCACTCCTTTTAAAACTCATCTTGTTATGTAAGAGTTATCTCTCAAAATATTCTGGTGAAGAACTGTAACATAGCTGTAATTATTAAGGAAAAACTGAGAGTACAAAGACTTTGGAAATACCAAGAGAAGTTAGCATCCTAAGTTAAACAACAGAAAATACAAGTTTTAAGAACTACTCTTGAATTTGAGGCTGTTAGTTGGACCACCCTCGTCCACTCCACCTCCCCGAAGCTTGAAAAAAATTTAATGGGATCAACTGATTACTTCGCTCAGCAGATTTTAATTCCATTTTCCCACTGAATTGCCACTTTATTTTTTTGCTACACAGTCTCAACAGATAACTGAAATCATCACTATTCTGGACAACCACTATTCCTGCAGGACTCAGACTGCACAACAATGTTATTTATGCTGTTTGGAGCATAAGGAGAAATAAATACAAAGTAAATACTGTAACAGATTCAGAACCTTAAATGAGTTTAGTAAAAAAAACAAATCTCCCCATTCATCTGCCTTATTTAGGTCCTGAACATGTGCTGTTTTGTGGCTGAATGGATCTAGAGACTATAAACCCTGAAGGCCTGCTAGTGGCTCAACTCATGAGTTTTAGGTTCATTTCCTATCAGATGCTAAATCCCATTATGCCAGTTTCTTCACATACAAGATTGAGATCAAACCAGCTGTTTATTTTATGTTAAAAAACCAGTAAGGTGCATCATGATGTAAAAAATCTAGTTCACAGGGATATTATTAACTACCTTATCCAGTTAATGACAGAAAAAAGAATACAAACCTAGACTATTAGTTGTTTAACTGGTGGTGTCAGTTATTTTAAAATTTTTATTATTATCTTTCCTCACCTTTTAAAAAAGCCCACATTCTTCTTCTAGCTAATCAAAGGCCACCTCTCCCATTAAAACTCATCCTTACTCCCATTAACCACGGTTTCTTTCTGAAGGTACTCAGCACCTTAAGCTTCTCATCAGCATCTAAGCATCAGGCACAGGCTGCGTGGGGATGTAACACCAACAAGACATGGTCTTGGGCCCTCAGAGTCCACCCTCCAATACAGGCAACACAACAAAACAGGCAAACATGTAAAGGGAGAATTTTTTAAAGTTGTATGTACTTGGGCAGAATTATGCAGAGAACAGCACATAGAGAGAAGACACTTAGCCCAGGGCTGGCAGGTCAAGAAGGGTTTCTGGAAGTGACACCCGGGCTGAGTGGGAGGGAAAGTATCCACCAGCTGAAAGGAGAGCAGGCTGAGCAAAGGCCCTGGACAGTGGGAGCAGGTCTACACAGGCAAGGAGGACGAGCCCGGCCACAGAAGGCGCGGCCACGCCCCCGGGGAGCACGGCCCGCAGGCTAGAGGGGCCTGGGCTTGAGCCTCTCGGGCCCCTTCCCAAACATGATGCACGGGGACCCCTGGGAGACTGTGATCCAGCAGATCGAGGGAAGGACCCTGGCATCTGTCTGCACAAGCCCGGGAGACGCCTTTGAACTGGCCAGTGCGGGGAACACTGTGTCGGCGGCAGAGGACCGAGTGGGGGCGGAGGGTGAAGCAGCGGCGTGCAGCAGCTCGGCTGTCATCCGAGACAGGAGGGACGCGCCGCCTCACTTTGCCCGGCACCACGGAGTTTCATACTTGGCTGTGTTTGATGTATCCTGTCGCCAATTACTCTCTTACATTATTATTTTTTATACAAGTCTTCTCTCCCTCAGAAGACAGGGAGTCACATGAAAGGGGAGACTAACAGCAAGCTTCTCTTTTATTCTCCAGAGTATCTATGTTCTTCTAAATCTCTTGAAAAGAAATATTTTAAGAGTTATTTGGAAAGAGGATGTTGCTTCAAACACATTTTATCCATCACTTTAGGAGACCATATCTATTACATTCGTCTTCATTAGGCTGCCCCGGTACTCCCTGTTACTTAATGACTTGCCCATAAATCCATTTTGTGTGAGTAAATTGGTCTCGACATCACAATTTTTCCCATCACTTGGCTCACGTAATTTTAAGTTTTCATCTTTTAAATTGGATAAGGCAGAAGGAACCATTCTGGCCATTCCTGAAGCAAAAGAAGAGCCTTCTGAACCACAAATAAGAGGAAAAGGCCTCCTTTCTGCAGGGTCACCTTGACGAAACCCCTCCCTTCAAAACTAAAGCCACAGTCACCCTCTGTGCCTCCTCTTCCTCCCCCGACTCCAAGTCAGGCTTGTTCTAAGTTACCCATTTTCACACACGGCTATTAAGTCAAAGGTGGTCTCTGTCAGAAGCTTCTGAGAGGTCTAGTATGAGAACATCTACAAAGTGCCCTGCAGATTTTCTTCAGGAAAAAACATGGGGGAAAAGAATCAAATTTTCTTCATCCAACAATGGGCCAGGCATTAGTCACAAACAACTTGGCGAGTCCCCTGGTGAGGGGTAAGCAGAAGTCAGACTGCATCCCCAAGCCCCATGTTAAACCCGGGGACAGCCGGGGACAGTGAGAGACCTGGCGGGGGTGGGGGAGCACCGGGGCCAAAGACCACCACCCCTGGACGTCGGCCTGCGAAGAATTAGAGTGGCCAAACCGAAAGAAACGTTAGCCAACGTGGTTTTCAGTTCTATCACTGAGCAGGAACCATGCCAATTCTTGTTCCTTGGCCGTGTTTACCTGTAAACTTCCATCTACTCTTCAAGTATTTAGAGTTTAGGGTGAAAAAAATTGAAAAGCAAAAAACTGTTATGAAACCTAACATTACAACCCAAGTACATGCAGGTGAGCAAAGCACATCAGTGTCCGAGAGGGCATTGGACACGAAGGACAGCTCTCGAAATATCTGAACACCTTTCTGGCTGGCCGTCTCCCGCAGCGGGTTCTAAGCTTCTCGGGAACAGGCCAAATGTCTCACTCATTTGCTCTCTCTGGTACCTAAGCGTGCTGCCCAAGCCTGTGGAAGGGGCCGTTAAGGGCAGTGCCCACTCAAATCTGTCCCTCCCCGGCCCCGACTACAGGTATAATGACTAATACAGTATCATTTACACACTTAAGCAGCTGTAACATAGTAACATCTCTATTGCTGACAACGAATAAAAGACAGAGAAGTTTCTGCGTTGTCCAAGAAGCAGCTGCATCCAAATCGACAAAGATGCTTGCTAACATGCAGCCTTCCCATAATCAGGCTGTCTAGACAAGGGGCATTGGAATTTACACGAACTGCCCCAAATAACCTCTATAAGCGAGTGGTTCTTGACCAGGAGAGACTTTGTCCCTCACCCTCAGAAACATTTGGAAATATCTGGAGACATTGTGGATTGTCCTGAAAGAGGACGCGCTGCTGCTGGTATCTAGAAGGTAGAGGCCAAGGATAAGACCGCCCTCCATAACAAAACATTATCTGGCCCGAATGTCAATTGTGGGTGAGAAACTGCTGTAAGTCCTAAATCAAAAAAAGCATTGTTCTCTGGTCTTAAAGCAACAAGGAGTTAACAAAAACAAAACAAAACTTCAAGGTATAAGAACAAGACCAACCAAGTTCTAACCAGATGACAGAATATAAATTATAACTTAGCTATTTTATCCCAACATTTAGTGAACCTGAAAACAACTGTCAAAAAATCTTGCCATTCTAAATAATGGATTTCTAGTCTTGGCCATTAATACGGTCACTTCCCCACTTTTCAGTGTCACAGATCCCTCAGATAATCCCATCTCTGGTACTTGGTGCCACTGTAAAAGGACAGACTAATCCAAGTGGCGGAAACATCTTTTCCAATTCTAACCCCAAGTGTGGCAGTTTAGTGAGACCACCCAATGCAGCATCACGAGTACTCACTTGGGAGACAGGACACCTGAGTTCTAATCCCAGCTCTGCTACTTAATTAGCTGTGTGCCTTGGATAACTCACTTCACCTCTCAAGGCCTCAGGTTTCTCATCTGCAAAATAAGGCAGTTACGCTAGAAGAACACTTCAGCGATCCAACAGTCGTTCAGCCTTTGCAGTAACTCCAGTTATACACACACACTCTAACATAATCTCTGAAGATTCCTTCACAAAATTCAAGCAGGTGGAATTGCCCAACACCACTATTAAAAAAACAAAAACTCCAAAGGAGGCTCAACGTTATTGGTGTATGAGAAATGTATTATGAGCTGTCATACTTTTGCTGAAATAGGCACAGTCCTACATGAATGGTGTAAACTACTAAGACTATTTTGTTAAACAATTTGGCAATGTGTATGAAGAGCTAAAAAGACTTTACTAGAACACAGCACTTATTCCAATAATAACACTTCTCAGAATCTAGTCCAAGCAAATAATCTAAAATACAGCTCAAAGAAAAAGTTTATGAGTATAATTTAGGACGTTTCCAATGAAGCAAGAATTCACAAATACTCTAAATGCCCCATAGTCAGGATGGTGGAGTAATTTATGAGCCCTACATAATGATGGAATAGGTAGCCAATCAAAAGAATACAAAATTAGAGAAAATATTTAAGACTTTTTAAATGAAATTTGAATGCTAAATATACAGTGAAGGGATAAAACAAGTCATATTAAAAAGATAAAAAAAAAAGGTCATATTAACTCAAGGAAAAATCAGCACGTGCAAGAGTAAAATATGGAAAGAACTTGTAAGTAAAAGAGTTCACTGAATTCTTTTTTCCACTAAGCTCTTAAGTATTTTCAATTTTTCTGCAATACCCTTGTACTACTAAGCGGGGCACACTGAATCACGATCATCTTTATCTGCCTCAACGTCATCTCAGACACCCTGAACACCACCAACAAAAAAAACCAAAAATCAGAAATAACCAAACCTGCTGGGAAGGCGTGCGAACCGCCCCCCGGCCCCCACCAAAAGCCCTGCTGATCGGCCTCAATGCCATACAACTGTGCGTGGGAGTCCCCAACCTGGTAAGGTTGGCTGGTCCGGCTCTTATTCCCTGAGGGTCCGGTGCCAGCACCCCAATAGCTGCAGGCCGTTAGGCAATGCCCTGCAGCTGACACCCGGGCGGAGCCCGGCTGTGCTCGGAGTTCGCTTTCCCGCCGAATCCCCAGGCTAATGTCGCGGTTCCCTGTGGAACTTCGACAACCAGGAGCGCACTCGGAAGCCAAATCCGTGGGGCTCCGCGGGTGCCTTCCCAAACCGCGCGGTCCAGGCGTCCCTCCGGGAGTGCGAGTCGGGGACGGGCTCAGCGATCCCTGAGCCGACCACCATGGATCTCCCGGCCATTCCAAGCGCCAAGTGCGGCTGTCGCGGGGACCGGCCACCTGCAGGCTCTGCTGCTGCCCCCGACCCTGCTGGGGGCGATGGAACCCTTGGGCTATGACTGGTCCGTGCGATCCCGGGCTCACCTCGCGACTGGAACCCGGATTCCCCACTCTACGCGCCGCGTAAGCCCGGCCTCCGCCGACAATGGGATGAAACTGAAACTGAAACCGCCGAGGCAGCGACACTTTTCAGTTTCAGCCAATCGCTGCTCCCGAAGCTACGGCGGCCGGCCGGACCAAAAGAACACGGCACCGCGGGAGCGCGCAAATCCTAGACTTCAGTTTTGCATAGAGGCAAAGTCCAAGATGCTGTGGGGCTAAGTGGGAAGTGCTGGTGCTCTCTCCTTTAACAAAAAACAACCCAACCCGCCCCGCCAAAACCCATAAAAAGAAGAACAGGAAGTGATCTTTTAGCCAGGATTTCTTTTAGGCTGAAATGTAAGAAATAGTTTGAAGTCGTAGGAGACTGGAATTCACTGCAAAAGTAGTGACTATACATACCAGGAAATTTCCTTGAATAATTTAATGCAAATAAATAAATAAAAGAATTGGCCTCAAATCTTTAAGTCCACCTTTGGATTTTGATTGTGTGGAGATGAAGTCATTATTAGCAAGAGATTGTTTCTGTGGCAGCATTAACAGGCACAAAAAGAATTATAGTCACTAAAGTAACTATTATAATGGAATAAATTGCATTACATTACAAACTAGTTCTAATGGGAAATGGTGTGCAGACATTAAATGCTGCTATGGGAACTTGGTTTTGAATTTTGCATGAATTCTCAATATTCTTGCTATTAATGGAAAGGGAGAGGTAAATAAGAGAACTATCACACTGAACTTGACTCCTTTTGCTTCCTACATACATGGCCTCATCAATTTAAAACGTATACTTTAATTCCACATAATTTGTAACACTACAAACAATGATGTCATCTTTAAACAGATTCTTAACCTTAAGTTTTATAGAATCTAACATGCAGAAATTTTTTGTAAGACAAAAATGAGGTCCCCCTCTTGTAAGCCTCTCTTAGCTAAAGAGATGAACCTTAGATTGATATGAGGGACAGACTAGGTGTGATTTAGTAGAAAAAAGAGACTTCATTGTATCCCTCTATAAAAGCTCACTTTGGGTAAAGACCAAGCATATGGATTTATTGAAAGGCTGTATTTAAAGTTCTTGCAGTATAAAACATAATGCAAACAAAAAAATTAAAGTATTATTTAAATAAAATAATTAGGTGCAAAGAACATATGTAATAGGATATAAAGCCCTGTCCCTAAAAACCTTTTTCACAAACCATATTCCCCACTGCTTGTTTTAATTATTTTTTAAAAAAAAGAATGTTTTGACTCATGGCCTCTTTCCCTTTGCCACAGAGCCCTGACGGGTGGGGTCCTTAAGGCTGGTGCAGTGGGCTGGGGAAAATGAGGGATTTTAGGGGCATGGTTAATCTGCAGAGGCAACTGCCACCTTTTCCACGGGGCATGGACCTGTGAGGGCCCAACTAGACAAATGAGCCGGGTGCCAGGAATTACTTCAAGCCGACAAGCTTATCTAAATGTGTTTATCCAGAATCCTTTCAGCAGCTTATAATTGGCTTTTACCAATTCACGAAGCAACTTTCCACATTTCACAGGATTTTTTTACCATCTTTAATTTTACAAAGAATGGGCAAGATTTTTCTGAATACTAATCCATCAAGAACTCACCTTCAAACCCATGAACATAAACATTAATTTATTGAGGTCATAAAAATAATTATCATTTCATAAAAATAATTTGACAAGATTTAGTTTTGTTTAACTTTTAAAATTGATGACCCTACATTGACACGTCATTATCTCCCAAACTCTATAGATTATATTAGTGTTCACTCTTGGTGTTGTACTCTCTATGGGTTTTAACAAACACATATCTATTATTATAGTATCGTATAGAGTATTTTCATTGCCCTAAAAATCCTCTCTGTTCTGCCTATTCATCTCGTTCTTCTCACTGATCCCTTGCAACCACTGATCTTTTTACTGTACCATGGTTTTGCCTTTTCCAGAATATCATAAAGTTGGAATCATATAATATGGAGCTTTTTCAGATCAGCTTCTGTCACTTAGCAATATGTATTAAAGTTTCCTCCATGACTTTGCATGGCTTTATAACCCATTTCTCTTTTTAAGAATTTTTAGAGATTTTTTTTCTTATGTTTAGAGAAAGGAGGAAAAGAGGGAGAGAAACATTGATGTGTAAGAGAAACATAAATTGGTTGCTTCTCGCATGCCCCCAGCTGGGGGCCTAACCTGCAACCTAGACATGTGCCCTGACTGGGAATTGAACTGGCAACCTTTGGGTCTGCAGGCAGGCGCTCATCCACTAAGCCAAAACATCCAGGGCTAACTTACCTCTTTTTAATCCTAGATAATAGCCTGTTGTCTGGGTGCACCAGTTTATTTATTAATTCACTTCCTGTAGGACATCCCGGTAATACCCACATTTTGGTAGTTATGTATAAACTGCTATAAACATCTGTATGTAAGTTTTTGTGTGGACATAAGTTTTCAGCTCTTTGGGTGCCTACCAAGGAGTGCAATCACTGAATTATATGATGAGAGAATGTTTAGTTTTGTAAGAAACTGCCAACCCGTCTTCCAAAAGAGCTGTACCATTTCGCATGCCCACCAACAATTAATGAGTGTTTCCAGTGTTTGGGAATTTTAATAGGTGTGAGTAGACTACATTGTGGTTTCAATTTGCATTTCCCTAATGACATATGCTGTGGAGAATTTTTCATATGCTTGTTTGCTATCTATATATCTTCTTTGGTGAGGTGTCTTTTCTGATCTTTTGCCCATTTTTTAAAACAGCTTGTTTTTTATAGTTGAGTTTTAAGAGTTCATTGTATATTTTGGATAACAGTCTTTTATCAGATATGCCTTTAGCAAATATTTTCTTCCAGTCTGTGGCTTGTCTTCTTATTCTCTTGAATCAATTATTCTTAAAATAGACAAATAATAGCATAAAAATAATAAGGGGGACTCTTGCCATTTCATTATTTGTTCAAAACTTCTATAGTCCTATTCCTTTTAAAATCTACTTTCTTTACTGTTTCATGTTCATAAAAAAAAGCACCATGTCTAGCTTATTTTTTAAAACACCCAACAGCCTTGTGGACAGGTGAGTGATCATACTATGTTGATGCTGATGATGATGGTTACAAACATGGAATTGGATTGGCCAGCAGTCTCCAGAGCAGATTTTTATACTGAAATCAGTGTTACAGTTCTAGGAACGCTGGTTAGTGTTAGTCCAGAAGCACATTACTGGTATGAAGTGCTGGCGTGCACTTGGATTTTTCCTGTCCCTTCAGACTGGACAATACAAACCTCTAACCTGTCACATCCTCGTTTGGGACCACTGCTATCTACCTTTTGTCATGGGATGTGAAAGATACTCCCTAGTTATTGAATATCTCCTCTCTCTATCTCTCTCTTTTTTACAGCATAGCCTTTCAATCATCCCACTTCTATGCAGGGGCTCAGTTCCAACTCTCTACCCCAAATGGGGCCAGCACCTTGTCTCTTGTACTCATGGGCATTAACTGTCACTTCCATTCTTATGTCTCCTGATCCGGTTTGAAGCTTGGCATCTTCTGGGTTGCTGTGACAGCCTCAACACTGGTCTCCTCTGTTGGAGCCCAATCCCCTTCTCTTCAATCAGGCCACCTCCTGCTTCTACTGTAGGTCTTAGCTCCAACAGAGGTTCCTTAGAGAAAACCTTTGATAATCCCTCAGACTAGATACTCCTGCTCTTGTTCATGATCACAGTGTACTACACTTCTCCTTTGTACCACTTGTGAATGCCTCAATTAAATAACTCTGTATGTGTTCGGATATGTTTCTTCCCTTCTGTGGACTCTGTGAGCCCAGGGCTGACGTCTATATTATTGAACATTTGTACCGTGATACCTTCTGAGAAGTAATGTAAGCTTATGGACTGATGGGCAAATTTCTCAGAAAAGTCAGTGTGTCTTTTATTTTTACCACAAGATGGGACATACTCTACATCATGGGCACTCAGTTTCAGATATAATGTTTCAGGTGTTTAAATAAATACTCAGACTTCATTGGCCATCATTTTGGCGTGACTTGAATTTCAGAAGCAATGGGCCCCGCGTCTGAGCTCCTCCGAACAGAGCCTTTCGAAAGCCGGGATGCTTTATGCTCCACTGTGAACTCCAGAGAACCTCTCCCAGCTGTAAAATTCAGTGAAATCGGTGTGACGCTGCCCTTGTATTTTAATCAAGATGAACTTGAAAGGTGAACATTATAAGTGGGAGAAATTATTTATAATTTGGTAATAAAAGTTTATGTCTAACACTCCAAATTTCATACATCTGCTATGTGCCGGCCCTGAGATATAAAACAATTGAAGTTGCCTTTACATTTGGCCTTATATGAAAGGTCATAAATTAGAATGATAGCATTCGTCCTCTTTCCTAGCTCACAAAATTTCCGTATTAACTTCTTCACCTCAAACATAAATGGTTACCCAGCTGCAAAGAAAAGAGTTGTGTTGGCCTTTATGAATTATAGTTTACGCTGGAAATCTGTGGAACGTGCCCTGGATGCACCCACTTCAGTGAAGCTAATTCTACTGCCGTGAAACTCATTAAAACTGTATGGCCAGTTCAAATAAAGACAGTACAGTATATAAAAATTTAGGAATATTTTAGATATCAGCAGATGAGATGTGG